GAGAAAATAGAAGATGAGAGTTTCCTATATTGCAATCCAGTAAAGGAGATAGAACATAGAGGTCAAATAATTTAGCTTTTAGAATAGTGTATGACACATGGTTAGGCTCTTAATAAATGCTTGTTAAATTGCACTGAATAATTCAGGGGCGTCCAAACCTCCATTACCATAGTCTGTTGTATACTTTCAAGTGAGCTGGAAAGGAATCTGGTCATGATCTGTCCTTTTCAATGTCAGCTGGATCTCCAGGAACAAAGTGCTTTCTCATTTGGAATGCCTGAAAATCTCTAGCAGCGCTATGACTCAGAGGTCACCTAATTCAACTGTCCACTCAAAGTAGGAATCCCTCTACATCATCCCCAATCACTGCCCATTTAACCTGTGTTTGAAGTTTAGTATCAGGGAATTGTAGTTGCTAGTGTAGTGTTGAGAGCTGGTTAAACTGAGGTGGGTAGAAAAGAGAGTTGAGAATGAAAGTGTTTAAGCTTTATGATCCCATACAATTTAGAGTTTGTATAGGGTTGGAATCTAGGTGATGTAGTCTTGGTGGTTGACTCTTACCAAGGAAGGTTCTCACATAAAGGGAAAATATAAGCTTTCTTCTCCCTCTGCTCATGCTCCTTCTGTTTACCATCATAGAAAGTACAAATAAATAATTTTCTCCTGGGAGTTAGAGAGATTTAATTCCAAGGTCAACTCTACAGGAAAGGGGTTCCCAAGGCTGACTTAATGTCACAATGCTTTTTTGTGTGTGTGTGTGAGTTGGAAGGAAGAGTAGAGAAGGAGAATGGAGGCTACTCCTTTGTTCTTTCTATAGACACCAAAAAATGCTCCCCTGTTGTAAGCTCAACTTCTATGTCTGGAGGTGGAGGAAGGACAACTTTATGGATGTGTTTTAGAGGCTTATCAGTATATACCACACACTTTCAGGCTCATTCTAATTGAATTCACAGGTTAAACACCAGTCTCTAGATACCCTGTGGGATCACATTCCTAAAACACAGGTCATGAGCCCTCACTGGTGTTTTTACCTTTAATAGTCAGAAGACACAATTAGTTCAAATCCAAGGCAATACTGTGGGTAGCTAGGTCCTCAGTGGATAGAGCACTGGGCCTGGAGTCAGGAAAACTCACCTTCCTGAGTTCCAATCTGGCCCCAGACACTTAATAGCTGTGTGACCCTGGGCAAGTCACTTAACCCTGTTTGCCTCAGTTTCCTCACCTGTAAAATGAGCTGGAGAAGGAAATGGCAAACCACTCCAGTATCTTTGCCAAGAAAACCCCAACTAGGGTCATGAAGAGTCAGACAGCACTGAGCAACATCAAATGAGATGGCATCATGAGAACATAGCTACAAAATATCCCCTTTCCCTCAACCTGTGGAACATTCTCTTACAACTATACCGACTGTCAGTGAACAAAGTGGACACGCGTAGCATGGACACATGGACATGCATGTGGCCAAGGCAACAAACTCTGCAGATGTACTTTTTCTTCTTATGAATTCCTCATGCTGCTTTTCCTGGGCACGGTATTTCTGCTTGGGTAGATCACTTGGTTAGGCTCTTTGTCCCTTTTCCTCTTTGCAGCTCAATTTCCAATGTCTGGGGCTGGCTCAGGGGTATCCAGGTAGCATAATAGATAGTCAGACCTGGAGTCAGGAAGAAGCATCTTCCAGGGTTCCAATCTGGCCTCAGAGACTAGCTATGTGACCCTGGGCAAGTCACTTAACCTATTTGCCTTAGTTTCTTCTTCCGCAAAATGAGCTAGAGAAGGAAATGGCAAACCACTCCAGTATCTTTGCTAAGAAAACCCCAAATGGGGTCACAAAGAGATGGACACAACTGAAAAACAACTGAACCATAACAAAGAGCTGGCTCTCTTCTTGACTTGTAGAGATCACAGCTACTCAGAGTTGCTTCCTGCCTCAACTACTAGGCGTACTCAATGCTGGGTAGTGTCATTGCAAGATATTATGGCTGATATGGGAGGGGGAGAGGAAGAGAAAGAAAGTCCCCCCTACCCTCACCTCAAGAGCAATTAATTCCCTCTTAAGAAGGGTTCTTATTCATAGTTCACACAGGTATGTCTTGCTTTTTAAAAGGATACCAAAAGCTTGGTTCCTTCATCCTTCAGCTAGCCAATGGTAAGCTCTCTAATTCCAACATGCTTTACTAAAATACTTTTTCATACAAACGTAGACATTTCTTTTTCCTTCTGTTTGAAACCCTAATATTTTGCTGCCTTGTTACCTTCCTCTTATATTCTGTAATTTTATAGACTGAGCTTGGGGGAATAATTCATGAGAGTTACTAGGTTAACACTCCTCCCAGCACCTGACCCCCACTATACCTGGGTCTTGAAGTTGGAGATGAAGTTAGACTACAGCAATTGTGATTTTTCTGAATGTGTAAGCATAGGAGGTGGAAAGTGGTGGTGGTGGTGGTGCAATGATTCTTCCCTGTGGTGTGGTTCAGAGACCACTGTCTCTACATTTCACCATGACCTTCTCCTGGCCTGTGGTGAGCAGGCCCATCCTTCTCCTTTGCCCAACTCCAGGTTGCTTGCTACCCACAAGGTCTCTTAGCTACAGCTTTCCACATCTATATCTTGAATTTCTCCCCAGGTTCCATGGGGGTAAGGAGGGGAGCTACCCCTTCTCCAAATATGCCTGCAACTTAAGTTGGATTGTCTCCTCCTCCCTTCCCTCCTCCTCCCTAGATTGTCCTCCACCTGCTACACCTCATACATATTGTTTTTGCCCCAGGCCAAAAAAAATTCCTAGTTACCATTTTGCTTGAAATGAAGGTCACAATATTTCCCTGGGAGAGCCAGAGGGAGCACATTGGGTTTGGAGTCTGATTGCAAAGTAATCAAAAGCAAGTACACTTTCTTTGCTTCGCTTCTTCTAACTGCTAAATGAAGAGAATGATTCCCTTCTTGCCTCTTAAAGATATTGAGAAGAACAAATGTGATGATTAAGGAACTCCTCTGAGGAAACAGTATGCAGTTGGGACAAATGGGAGTTATCAAACTGGAACAAGGCCTTGGGCTGCATAGCACAGAAAGGAGAAACTGTTGGCTATGTTCCTCAAATGTGAAGCAGGGGATTGGGGTGGGGGAGAACAGGAAGGCACAAGCCAAGCTCAGGTAAACCAATCTTTTTGGCATCTCAGGTAGGCAGCTGCTGCCTGTTTTGTCTGCTGCACACCAGGTGGTTACATAGAAGTTCCTCTGTGTACTTCCAGGAGGAAGGGGGAGATAAATCAGTTACAGAACTGCTAATCCTTCTCAACAGCTGGAAGATGGAGCTCAGGGGCTCATTCTCTGGAAGAGGAAGGAAATTCTCTCCGAATTTCAGGTGGTATGAAGGAAGAAAGCTGAAAGGAAGGAGGCCTAGCATCTGGGCTTTGTGGAAATGAAAGTGCTCAGTGGACTTTAAAGTAGCCATGCCTGTCATAGCTAATGAATTCAGGGAGGCAGAATTGGGGACTAAACCATTAGATGACTTTATCATAAGATCATAGGATTTAAACTGGAAGGCACCTTAAAGGTCATTTAACCTAACTTTCTTATTTTATATGTGAGAAAACTGGGACTGGTTAAGTGACTTGCCCGTGGCCACAAAGATTATGAGAGCGAAAGAGCTGGTATTGATGATAGTACAATTATCTACCAAGTAGGTGGGTAAAGTCCCGAGTTGCTAGGCTATTATTAGGCAGAGATTTAGGGCTGGCTATTATCTCCCTCAATCCTGTTGGAAATGTGCAAACTACTCCTCTTGGCCAACATGCAAATATCTTTCGGGGATGTACAGACAAAGGCCTGCTCTCTCTGAAAATGAGCTACTTCCCCTTTTCTGAGCTCCATTTTCCCTTTCTGTAGGCTAGGGGTAAGAATCATAGCGCTGAGCAAATGAGACATTTGAAAATAGGTTTTTCTCAGTAAGGTTTATATTCCTAAACATTTTGCTGTCTCAGGAGAGTGTTTTGTGTTAGGCAAGTGGTTCTCAAGCGGCAATCTATTTTGTCTGAGACAAAACCACTTAATTTTAGGGCAGGGGTTTAAGTACCCATTTTATGGAGGACAAAAGATTTTCAGGACCCCAGAGTTCACAACCAAACAGTCCAAGAGCCAAGAAAGGCAACGTTTTCACTGAGATAACATGGGATTTGGACCCAAAAATCTCAGGTCTGCCATTTACTCCCTGTGTGACCTTGAGAAATTCACCACTTCCCTGGACTTTAGCTTTCTCATCAATAAAAATGGAGTAGGGCTAGGTGACCTCTAAATTCCCCTCCAGCTCCTAATCCTATGAATAAAAGGCCAGTGTTCCAGCTCCCAGCTGAGGGCCCCAGCATATAATCCCGTGGCCTTTCCCTTAAATGTCGGCGCATGTGAACATAAACGTGCCACTTTGGAAATGCACAGTCAGGGCAGCAATCCATCCTCATCATCCCTCTCTCCCTCGCACGGGCTTTGTGGTTATCTTTCCCTTTAAATCGCATCTCCTCTGGATGCCCTCTCCTCTCCTAAACCGCGCATCCTAGCCAACCTCATTTTCTTTCCTCCTGCTAGCCCGCCCCTTAGGACCCCAAATTGATCCCCTCCCACAGAGAAAGATCCAAGTTCCGCGGGAGCGGCTGAAGAACTACAATTCTCGTGGGGCTTTGCGGGCCAGTCCGCTCTTTGCGCGCGCAGAGCACGTCGGGGGCTGAGGTCCCGCCGTCCCTTCTTTGGCGCGTGGAGCCCAGGGCAAGCGCACTACAGGTCCCGTGGCGCCGCGCGAGCGGGGAGCGGGGTTGGGGCTGGGAGCCGGCGTGAGGGTGGGGTGGGGTGGGAGGAGAGTGAAGGAGGAGGAGGCGGAGGAAGAGGTGGACCGGGAGTGGGATGGGGGGAGGGGAGGGGAGGAGAGGGGGGGCGGGGCCGAGCGGGAGCTGGAGTCTGAGGCGGCAGTGGTGGTGCTAGCGGCAGCGGCAGCAGCAGCGGGAGTAGCGGAGACGGCGATGTCTGTGCAGGTCGTGTCAGCCGCCGCCGCCGCCAAGGTGCCTGAGGTGGAGCTGAAGGACCTAAGCCCTCCGGATCCCGAGCCGCAGCTCGGGATGAGCGCGGCGGCCGTGGCCGCCATGGCCCCTCCGGCGGGCGCCGCGGACCCCGAGACTCTGGTCCCGGCCCCGGCCCCTGCCCCGGTTCTGGCTCCGGCTCCAGCTCCGGCTCTGGCCCCGGCCGCGGAGCGACCCCCGGCCCCCGGCCCCGCCACTCTCAGCCCGGCCGCCGCCCCGCCCGCCGGGAAGGTGCCGCAGGCGTCGGCCATGAAGCGGAGTGACCCGCATCACCAGCACCAGCGGCATCGCGACGGCGGCGAGGCCCTGGTCAGCCCCGACGGCACCGTCACCGAGGCGCCTCGCACCGTCAAGAAGGTAGCGGGGCCCGGGCCACCGGCGCGGGTGGCGGGGGGCGCGGCGCGGGGCTCAGGGGAGGGGGACGGCCCGAGCCCGGGGGAGCACACACCCGGATTCCCCTCGGTGCCGGGAGCCCTGGCTCCCAGTGACAGGACCATGTGTTCTTGTAAGTGTCAGGGGAGGGAGGAGCGCGCGCCCTCCTCCTTCCTCCTCCTCCTCCGTCTCCTGCCCGAGGGGGCACTGGGACTGGAGAGCCCCCTCAGCTCGTGGTGGAGGATCTGCTCCCCCCCACCGCTGGTGTACGCACGCACACGCGCACACACACACACACTCACACTCACACTCACACTTACACTTACACTCTTCCGTTCCTCTGTCCTCCTCGCTTTCTCCTCCCCCTCTCCTTCCCCCTCCCCGTCTCTTTCTCTTTTTCCCACAGCCACCTCTCTCTCTTTTCCCTTCAACTCCCTTTCTATCTCCTTTCCCTTTTCCTTGCCTCTCTATTTTTTCTCCCCCTTCTCTACCTCTTCTTCCTCCCTCTCTCCTTCACTCTCTTCTCCCCCTTTCTCCTCCCCCTCTCTCCTTCCTCCTCTTTCTCTTCTTCCCCCTCTCTTTCTCTCCTCCCCCAGCCACCTTTCTCTTCTTTCTTTTTCCCTTATTCCCTTTTCTGTCTCCTTTCCCCTCTCCCTCTTTCCTTTCTCTTTTTCTTTCCCCCCTCCTCTCTCTTCTCTCTGTCTCCTCCTTTTCTTCTCCCCTCTTGTCCCAATTGAGTATCTTTCTTCCTACCTACTGGGGAGTGAAGACCCTGAGGATGAGATAAGGATTATTTACTCTAAATCAGGGGTTCTTAACCTTTTTGGTATCATGGACTCCTTTGGCAATGTGGTGAAGCCTATACACCCTTCTCAGATTAATATTTTTAAATGCACAAAATAAACACATAGAATTATCAAGGAAACCAATTATATTGAAATAGAAAAGCCTTTCCCTCCTAGTCCAAGTTCATGGATTTCCTGAAATCTCTCCATGGACCTCCAAGGGCTTACTGGACCCCAAATTAAGAACTCTTGCCCTAGGGATTTCTTCAACAGTAGAGGTGGATAAACCTTTTTCCTGCTTAGAAAAAGAGGTCATTTTACCAGAAAGAGCCTTCCGTCTTTATGAATACCAACTACTGGGTTTACTCTTGTTATCTTTGCATCTCTAGTGGTTGTTCGGCTCTCTTTTGATGATGACTTCTCTTCCTTTCTGCTCACCATTTTCGGTGAGCAAGTCTGATATTCAATCTATTCTTTATCTCAAGACATTGCAGTACCTTTGCCTCTTCTCTTGTCCAGAAGGGATGGTAAGGAAGAGATTTCTTTTATTCTTACCTTTCTGGAGATTGATCTTCTACCCATGTCAGGTCTGTGTGATGAAAATTAAACCTTTCTTGAGTCCCTCTTCCCCCATGATCTGAGTGTGTGTAGTAGGAAAAAAAATGTCCACTAAGCCTCAGAGAAAGGGGTTAGTTTTGGGCTTTGCTGTCCTAAGTATCAATTTCTTTATTAAATGCCATTTATAAAAGTTGGCTGCCTCTTCTCTCTTTTCCCATCTTTTATGCTGAAATGCCAATCATTAGGGTAAGACAGAGATTTCATTTATGTGCTATAGATAGAGCTGCTAGATTTCCCTCTCTTCCTCTTCATGATCACTGACGAGTTATCCTGAATCTTTGGCAATGTGTGGAACATGATTCACTTTTTTCTTTTGCTTTGATGGGTGATACATTTAAATGCTATTTGTCTTAAAAATCTCATGGTGTTTTTGTTTTAAACAGAATTTGGAAGAATAGTAACTTATAACAAAGATAGCAACTTAGCTTCTTCATTGTGTCCTCTTGGTTAGGGGATGAAATTAGTGACTCATTGGGATCTTTTTTCTTTTATCTAATTCTTTTTACTTGGGAGAGTTCTTTTTTCATTCCCTCTATCAACAGTCTTCCATTTAAAATAAATTCTTTGAAGCTTTTGGACTTCTCTTTAAAAAATAATTTTATTGAAAATCTTATTTTGAAAACATTGTAGTCATTTCACAATGCTGCCCCCCCCATCTTCTCTTGTGACAAAGTACAATTAAGCAAAACTAATCATGTCTGACAGTGTATGTATGCCTCATTCTGTTCTTGTAGTCTTGCCACCTCCCAGTCAAGAGACACGAGGCGAGGCATGCCATTAGTCTTCTGAAGTCATTACTGGTCATTGCGTTGATCTAAGTTCTGAAATTTTTCATTGCTGTTTTCCTTTAAATTATTGTGATCATTGTTTAAATTGTTTTGGTTCAGTTTGCTTATTCTGTATTTTAAAGGAACCTTTTCAGATTATTTTAAACTATTTATTGATAAAGCACAGTTTCGCTATTCTGCTATTCTTTAGTCACTTGCCACCTACTTTATTAACAATTCTTTTGCTACTCCAAAAAAAGTTTTTCTATAAATATTTTTTTGCACATATGGGACTTTTTCCTCTGTGCTTCTTAGAGCTTTATTTCCTGGTGGCCCCGCATTGGGTTAGAATGGAATGGGGTCCAATATCTTCATGCTTATAGCATTTAAACAGGATATTTGAATTGTATTCTAAACAAGTTGATTTGTTGTGTCTGTGAACAATTTCCTCCTCTTGTGATTCCTTTTATTTATGTGTGAAATGGGAATGTGAAGATAAGTCACAATTGATATGAGCTCTTGGGAGGAAAATTATCAGATAAATTAAAAATGAGGATGTTATATAATTAAAATGTAGATTTGAGTTTTAATAATTTCTGTTTTGTGTGGTAAGTTATTTAACATATTTTATGCCTGCTGAACTGGCTTGAAATCACTAGGTGCTTTTCAGAAGCTTAAAAATGTGCTAGATCCTAGGTTTAAAAAAAGAAAAATTTCAATCTGGTAAAAGTAGACTCCATTTTAATAAATTCTAGAGCCTTCTGACTATTCCATTTTGACACTGAACATCAAATTGCCTTTGTCCCACTCTTCACATTATTCATATATAGGTACTGAGATCAGAATGTATTCCATAGCTTTCTAGACAATCCCAGATTGATTTTTTTTTTAATTGGGTAAAAGAGGCCATTTTTTGCCTCATTTCTTATCTTATCTGAATGGTCGTTGCCTCAGACAGACTGAGACCTGGGAAAGACCTTAGTTTAAAAAGGCCAAGGTCTCCCACTGTGTCTGGGGCCATCTCTAGTCATCCTGATCTGTCTTGTCCCTGGATCTAGGTGACTTAGGAGAAGAGAGTGAGGCTGGTGACTTTGCACAGCCCTGCCTTACTTAAATCTAGTTCACTTACAAGTCATGACATCACCTTTCCGATGTCATGGTCCTCTTCAAGAACGAAGAACAAACAACAGCAGAGAAGGAAGAACTCAGCCTTGCAAAATCTTTTTGCGCTGCTGATGGCACTGAAACTTTAAAGCTGGGAAGTTAAACATATTAAACTTGGTTATAAAGGGAATAATATGTCATAATGAAGGGTGTTTTTCAGTCTTCGTACATAATCTTGCCTTTTTACTTGTTGGTATATTGTTTAAATAAAAATAAACACTTAAAATTCCCCAAGGTTATGTGTTGAACTCACTAGAGAGTTAATGGTCTCATTTTGATTTGCTGAATTTCTCCATGATTCTCTTGCGGTCTGTCTAAATGATCATTTTGACCTTGACTCCCAGTTATACTTACTACAGTGTAGGGAGGATTGGAGACAAGGAAATATCTGCCTTAGACTATGTAGCCAGTGACTTAACTCATTTCATTTTGTTTTACAACTGTCACAGACTTATTTATTTTATATCACATTTACGTTGATGGTTTCCCTCAATTTTATTCAGTTCCCTGAATTTTATTATTTATGGCTTTGTATTTAGTTCCATTATGGTATCCAGCTATACATGGGGGAAAAAGCCCCACCTTTTCAGGCAGCAGCCTGAATTCCCAAGTGTAGGGAGTAATGAAAATAAACATATGATTTTTAGGTTAGTCATACCTTATCTTTGGTGCCTACCTCCATTTCATCAATTTATGGTGCACTGGGAACAGCCTTTGTTCTTACATAATGTTTTTCTCTCCAGTATACATAGTTCTTTTAGAGGTCTTCTACAAAACCAAGAATTTTTGGACGGAGAAATGATTTGTGAAATAGAAGGAAATTGCTTTCATATGAAAGGAGCAGCAGCAGTTGAAAGGATTTTCTTTCAGTATGGGAGAATGACGAGTATCAAAGTATTTGGAGAATGAGGCAAATTGACTTCATGAGAGAAGTTCCAAATTTGTTAGACTAAAATTCTCAAACTAAGCCCATGAATCTTACCTGATTTGTGTTTATGTAAATATTAGTGATGAACACATCTGACCATATGGTTTACTTTGTTACTTGATAGATGAATCAGGTGTTGTCACACTGATGTGAAAATATCTCACTAATGTTTAGCCTTGTCTTTGCGGTTGCCTGGAGAGAATGAACTGGGTTATGTTGTGGCAGTTTTGCCTTTAGCTCTCTGAGCTCCTGATTTGATTAATTGTCAGTGACTGAAACTTAAATGACTTAGATTTAGGCATGAGAATTTGAGAGATTGAAAAGACTCTGTACTAAGTTTTGCTTAGAATTGAGCAAGGCAAATGGCAATTTGACTTATACCCTCTTCCTCTCGATTTCCAGACACTACAACTGACTTCTGGCCTAGTTCCAGAAAATCCTTTAGAATCTTAAGTGGATCCCAAAAGATTTCTGGTGTAGGTCATTCCAAGTCCAGTGGACCTAAATTCTGATCCAATTCTGATACCTGTATTTGAGTTAAGCAGTCTCTGAACCGGACAAAGACCTTACAGTTCCTCACTTATTTCATCATCTTATAGACTAGACAGCTGAGACCTAGAAAGGTTAAGTGACTTGTTCAAGGTCACAAAACTTGGGAGTGTAAGCTTTGTTTATTCTAGGACTGCCTAAAGTTAATCTATTTGTAGGGACTGAATGGAAGCC